TCCTCTGATTAGCTGTATTTGGTATCAAAATCTTTTAATCGTTTTGATCCCATATTGTCGTCCGCGCCAGGTGACGTCATTTTTCAAATGGTTTTTTGATCGCCGCGGATGACATTGCCGTCCGTAGATATATAATATGTATATACTATTATATACACATAGTATATAAAGTATATGAACTTATCAGCGGTGACGTCACGTTCGTGGAATAATAATTTTTATTTAAAAAATAAATGATACATTTCCTCAATGACCATAATATTAATACATATTACCTCGCTATATACAATGGTATTTTTCATCCATAATCGTTTTGTAATCTGTTCATAATCTCTATTAGTTCTACACTTTGGGCAAAGAAAGATTCGAGTACCATTTATTATTATTATTATTTTTTTTAAATTAATAACACCGTGAAAGTACCTATAAACAATATTTATCTAATAACGAAAACAAATCGGCTACAGTACATTACATATTATGTAATTATGTAAATATTGAATTTCAAACATGAACTTTAATTTAAATTATTGACTTATTATGTAAAGATAAGTATACAATATAATATCTAATAAGTACATTTTAAAGTCACTGATTCTTGGATTTGTACGCGGTTTGGAAGAATTCATATTTTACAAAACAGTTTAGTGTTTATCATTATATTGATTGAATGTAAATTATGTGATACTGTTAGAAGTGAAAATTGAGCTACTCGACAAATTAAATTAATTATTAGGTACCTACATTAAAAAAAAAAAAAAAAAAACAATTTGAAAATGAATAGTAAGGCAATACGAAATAGGCATTATGAAATTAAAAGCAAAAACTTTTGAAAAAAAATTCAATTCTGTTAACAGTTTATTATTATCGTGATGTGATTAATATAATTTCTACGAATGATTACGAGTGTAGGTATGGTATTATACATTCTACGGACAATGACGTCATTCAGTAGTTTTACTTATTCCAACATAATTACACTGAGTTAGATTTAGATAACTCTCCAAAGTAGTTATGCACCTATTTTTTTATAACTTTTTAGTTCTAGTAGATATAGGTATTTTAAATATTATATGGTATTTTTTTTTTTATAAAGCGAAAGTAAGTAGCCCATGTGGCATAATAATACTGATTGTTGAATTATTTAGATGATAAATTGTGTCTAGCATTCGAGTTTAGTATAGAGTCATACAGGTAAACTACCTACACCGTAAAATATATAATCTTACAAATAGGTACTTATAAAATATTGGTAAAGTTGTCTACAAAAATGTACAGTATTTTTATTTTTTACTTTTGATTAATTTCCTAAAAGCGTCCGATACCTATATTTTAGTAATTTGTATGTCCCAATTTATTGTTGGAAATGCCGCTCTATCGGATTAAAAATATTTTAATTATCCGCTTTAAAGTTGTACGTTTTACATAAATACAATAAAGTCGGGTAATCGATGTTAGAAGAATTAATTAATTTAGGTAGTTGAAAAATAGACGTATAGCTTTTAAAATGTACAAGTAAATAATGATTTAATCTGGAATTATATTATATAAACATTTTCCTAAAATGATAAAATCGTGTCAACAAATCAAAGTTAATACTGATGAAAAATGTTAAGTATTATTGTTTAATAAAAATAGTATATGTATGCCGTATTTTGAAATCATGGAAATTATTGAGTAACAATTATATATGTACAAAATACTCGATAAATCAGTTGGATGTACTATGTATATAATTAGATATGATTATTAATTAGATATAATATTAAATTTAACCCGATGTAGCCATGTGGGTTAGGTCTACTGACTACTGTTAAAACTAACTACCGAGTGTGTTTTGTCTTTTGTAGTCTAGAATATATATAGTTATACGGTACATATAGGCGTACATAGGTACACAACTAAAATACCGTAATACAATAAACAATAGAGATATTATACAAGTGAGAATAAAAATTAACTTCATTTTAATTGACAAATATTGCATATAGATTCTAAATATAGTATTGTAATGACCTAGGACACATTTTCCTCATTATACTTAGGTATACCTCATATAGATTACAGATTTATCGATAAGTAATGCATTTTTCTCATTAATTTAAGGTAGCTCAATCGTAAGACTACATTTTAATAAATTATTGAATACCTAAACAAATATTCTAACTAGTAATTTTTTGTTTTAATAAATAGGTTTTAACGGCAAACATCGGTATTCTCCTTGACCTTTATAGTGTAGAAAAAGGCCTTGAACACTACAGGAGCACGACAACGTTAAATTTTCAACATTACAAATATTATTTATTGAGAGAAGTATATATACATAAATATTTAGTTGATTCATCGAATAAACTATACTTATTTTACTAGAAATCTTTGTGTTTTAGGTGTTCCTATCGCTTCCAAACATTCTATCTTTACCAGTACTTCAGGGATTTGAGTCAAATATAGACGAGACATGTTGGCTGATTTGTAAAAAAGATTTTATTTCTAAATGCCAAGTATTACCAGAGGATTGTATGTATAAATTATTCAGGGTATTTTGTTTTTTGTCAGAGCTTATAGTAGATCCAGAAAGACCAAATCGATTCCAAGTAATTTGTCATTGAAAAATATTTCTTATCAGTTAATTTCCTAATTTATTTAATGAGATTATACACCTATATAGGTTATAATGGATACATCCGAAGTGGGTTTGGTGGCTTCACAAATTGTTACTTCATTAGGCGCTGACTGGGACCAATCTGGTTTTGAAGAGCTCATTGGAAATGCTAATGGATTTCAGTTTGGTACGTTTTTAACTTTACTAGAGAAGCGATATTTAGCTGACGTTGATCGTGCCGGCTTAGTGGAAGCATTAAATGCTGTTACAAATACGTTCATTGATGATATCATAAAAAAAGTAAGGCAACTAAAATTAAACTTCATAATTTAAATTTTAAATCATTACAGTTAAAACTCAATATTAACACGTTTAAAAAGTAAAGAGATAACTGATTATTTTCAATTGAAACGCATTCATAGATTTTAAAGAATACATTTATGCCAAAATTTCAAAAGCGATATTATTATTTCGAAATAAAATATTATTGTACAATCGTTATTACTTAAGCTTTATAAAATGTTGTTGGTTTGAGAAATATTTTTCATAATTTTTTTTGTTAGGGAGTATTGTTGAAACGTGGTTATTTATTGCCAACATTACGAGAGTATTGGTTTGTATTAAAACCATGTCAACTATTATACTATAAGAATGAAGAAGAAAAAGAGCAGTGTGGATCTATAACCTTAGATCCAAGATGTTGGGTGGATTCTAATTTACAACGTATAATGCTGCACACAACTGAAAGAACTTTCGAATTAGCTACTAAGGATCATAGGTAAACGAAATCTCGTTAAAAAACAGTGTCATACGAGCCGTAAGGTCTGCATGTTACCAGGCCATGTCTATGACTTAGTAAATTCATTTTAAAATAGTTATTGATTATTTGAAAATGTAATAGTGTGATGTTTTAACAAATATTTAAAATTTCAGGAGTCGCTTACAATGGCTATCTGCTTTAAAATTAGCAATATCATATTCAGCGGGGACAGAAGGTTATCAGCGAACATTGTTGCGCCGTAGGCAAAAACGAAGAAAAGCTGAACTTCAAGAGAAACATAGAAGAAGCAGCATAATACATGACATGGATGTTCAGTTACAAGCTGAGAAACAAGTATGTACGATTTCAAGTTTTAATATTATCAGATCTTAACATTGCAATATGTAGGCCAGAGCGGCTATGGAAATCCAAGCAAAAGAGCTTAAAGTGGCTAGCGAAAAACATGTTGAAGAATTGGAATGTCTACTTGAGGAAGAAACACAGGCAAAACGTGATGAAGAAATAGTTCGTAACTTACAAGCTAGGTAACAATAATTGTTATATGTTGGTAAATATATGTTTGAACAGATAAAATATAGTTCATGTTCTATAAAAATACATATAGGAGAAAATCAGCTATTATAGCTACCTACTACATTGCTGTAGTTTGTTAATCAATCCAGTTGGCCATATTAACAATATTAAAATTAGAACATTCTGCTTTGATCCCTAAAAATTGATTTTAATCTAGACTTATTTGTGCAATCATTCAACTCAAAATTATGTAATACATTTGATTATACATAGCTCTGACTCCTTAATATTAATCATCACTATATTTAGAGTATTAAGAGAAGAATGGGAAAAAAGAGAAGAGCTAGAAAGGCTACAGGAAGAACATATATTGTTGTTAGAGCAAGAACGAGAAAAACGAAAAGAATTTGAGATTAAACAACGAGAGAAAGAAAACCAATTATTAGGTAAGATGTATAAAATAATTAACTATTAAACATTGTTTATGTAAATTCATTATAATATTATAATTCAATTCATCAAATATTTAAGCTTAAAAAAAATTGAATTATTGTTTTAGAAGCCCAACAGAGGTTAATTGAACTGGAAGCTGAAAAACAGCGACTCGATGACGAATTGACAAGAGCTCAAAAAAAAATTAGTGTTTCTGAAAAAGCTGTAGCATCAATTACAATTGTGGAGCCCGTAATATATATATTTATATGGATATACATAAAATAATTATTATAGTTATATTTGTAATCAAAAAATTTAATGATACAAAATAGGATTAAGATTTAAGAATATTAAGTATTGACTGTTTATACTTAAGAGTATATAGATAACAGTTAATTAAAAAAAGGTTTGAACCAAGATCAATTATTTATGTTTGCAGGCAGAAACATTGAACATAAAACCACAAGTTAAAGTGAGGAGGACTATGTCATTTATACCATCCACAAAAGAGCGACCAATTCATTTTTATAAATGAAAAGACTAACTATTTTTTTTTTTGTATTCAATTATTTATTAATAATTATTATGTATATAATTATTTTTTAATATTATATTTGTCTTGTATATTAAAATGTAAGGAATTTTATAGTTAAATTATAAAACCAGTTGTACAATGAGTTACAAAATTGTATTTATATAATAAACATGAGATAAAGGAAAAGTACTTATTTGAATGTTGTATCTCTAGGACGATACGGTATACCTCTGGCCTTCATTTCCCTTACGAAATTTGGAGGTAATCGACCAGCAACAGAAATGGCATAAATGCCTTTTGTAAATCTATCTGTAAAAATAACAGTTCATTAAATATCTATTTACGTATATTATATAATTAATAATAGTTAAAAATGAAAATTGAAACTTACTGATTTTTTGCCATCTAGCAACCCAACTGTCTTCAGGGCTCATAAGTGCAACCATTCTATGGATAAATAATCAAATAAAATGCAATTAATAATAGTTGTTTTTTAAAATAGTATGTTCTAAATACCCATCAAAATTTGAACTTGTACAATCGTACACATGATCACGGTTGTTTTTCAATCTCAAAAATTCATCACAATTGTCACAGCCATCAATTTCAAACTGATCGAAAGACTATAATGGAAATATACATATAGAAAAAAAAAATTAATAAATTAATAATTAAGCCATTAACCACAATCTGGGGCTAAAGGATGATTGTAAATATGTCAATTGAAATAGTTTTACTTTTTAGTTATTTTTATACAGAATTTCTTAGTTTAATCATTTTTCTTTGGGCAGACACCAGTCTGAAGAGAGAGGCCGCCATCCCCCAACTTGTCATCGCAGAAACCTAAGGGTGACCCATCAAAATTCTGTCTAATAGGCATCCGAATTAGGCCGTCTTGCCTACTCCTGGACATAGCGCCATACGAAAAATAATAATAAATATAAAAATGTGTTTTTTGTTCAAAACAACTAAAAAAATCAACATACTTTTTCCCAGTTACAGTTATTGGTACTTATGTTGGATTACAATAATTTTACTTAAAATATACCTTAAAGAAGTTAAGTTACAGACCATTATTTAAGTTAAAATATTTGATGATGATAAAAACAACTAGAATCAAACAAACTGATAATATACAATCGATGTTAAGATACTTACATACAACTTTTATACCTCAATAATGAATCATAATAATTACCTTAATTAACGAACACACAAGACATGCTCTTGCGGATCTCATATCCTTGGGGATTGAGTCGAGCGACATTGTTGCATAGACGATATCCTTATATTATATCTAAAACGTTAACTAGTTAATAAATTAACAACACAGATAATGAATGCAGGATGAATAAATAACGATTGAAGAATACAAACCTGTTAAAGTGTATGACTGTGAAGTTATATTTATTATATTTTTTTTGATCACATTATCAAGAAAAAAAATGTTCTTATCACAACCGTCCGTGTTCCAAAGACGCTATAAGATAATAAAATATTGAATTCCACAGATTAACAATAATGATAATATTATACACAGGAGTGGTTTGAAATGATGAGTGCAAAATGCATAATTATTAAAATATTTTGAGATTTAAAAATGTCTAGTTTAGATTCTGAGAGGAGCATGATTTTATATTTTTATAATGATATATGTTTTTTATTCTGTGTCTGTGTACACGATAAGTAGTCGAAATAATGCTTTGATTTTCAACTTTCGTATCGTTTCTGGTTGGAAAGTGAAAATAGTTGTTGCATTCGGGAGGTCAACTTCAACATTTAAAATTCAAGATTTGAAGACATTTGTAGATTTCAAAATTGCAGGAAAAAACAAAAAAAAATTAAGAAAAAGGTAAAAAAAACCGAAATTTAAACGCAATATCAGTTTTTGACCAAATCTGATGTAACTCTAAAAATAATAACCTTAGATACCTACGTGATACGTGATGACATTTTCACTGTATGTTTATAAAAGCATTTTCTAATTACAATTATATTTTAAATACATTTTGATCATTTTTGAGCTATTTATAACTTTACTTTATTTTTTAAAATTAATGTCGGTTGAAAATTTAATACAAGGTTCTTCATAAGTTGTTGTTAGTGGAAATTGAAAAAAAAATTTAGCGTCAATCCACAATTTTTTTTAAGATTGCCTGCGAAGTTAAATTGTTTTTTTTTACGACATTGGATATTCACTTCTTATGGAACGATTTTCTTATATTGTTGTAATTCAAAAACGAATAACCGTAGATACTTGAATTTTACACTAAATGTTTATTTTATCATTTTTTTTTTCCAATTAAATTAGACTATGTTTCAATGTTTGCCTTTGCATATGTTTACCTTTGAGAATTCGGCTCTGAATATCATCAGCAGCGGATCCAGGATTAATTTTTTTTTTTTGAGGGGGGGGGGGGCATAGTCCAAAACGCAAATCTTAAATCTTAAATTCTTATTTTTTTTATTTATTAAAGGTTATATTTAAATTATAATAATACTGTAAGAAATTTATACAGGCCCGGCGGACGGCGCAGGCAACACAGGCCTATGCTTGGGGCGGCGTTATGTAAGTGGCGGCATTTCCTTGGGGTGGTAGGTAGGGCTTAGATAATACGTTACTACTTCGCCTAACGCAAAAACCGAAAACCGCTTTTGAACCACTGATGAGAAAATAAAAAATAATTTAATTATTACATTTTTATTATTAAAAAATAATAACTGAGGGGTGATAAGTATCCGGCAATTAACTTAATTTAGTTTTGGATGGGACGGTTTATTCGCTTATGTACAAGTACAAATGTATAATACACTAAAATTAAACTTAGTATAACGTGTATATTAACATTTGATTTTTCCCCGAAATGACGACGCCGCGTTCGTCGAAAACGTATTTATTATACAAATTATTTATTTTTGGCGCGGCGACATGGGCTATGCGCTGATAATACTAGCAGAACTCAATAGTATTATTTGTTTTTCATCCGTCGCTTTGAAGTGACCTCCTGTAATTTTTTTACAATTACTGATAACGGTGGCTGAAAACTTAAGGTATCGTACCCATGTTTTAGTACTTATATTGTATGATTTGTATGTATATTTTTGTAAAATAAATTTGTACCTATATTATTAGTGATTAATAAATTGAGTAATCAATAATTTTGATAATAAATATTATAATTGGTACATAATATTAGCTTGAATATTATTGAAGTTATTCGATCTTATGAATTTGAATTATAAACTGTTCACTGTATAAACATTATACATAGAATATATTCCTAATAATAAACTTTATTTGAATTATAATAATTAAACTAAATAACTTGTTAATCCTAACTTTTTTAAGCAATGTCAATTTATTACAAAGATTATTATTTTTAATGCTAATAAGATGTTTGTATTTTGTTATACATTAATGTACCTTAATCTATATAAAAAATTAAAACAGGTCTATTAGTCTGAAAAAGCGATAAGATATTCCATTAATTAGTATTGTATTATTTATTAAATTCATTATTAAAAAAAAAAAAATAATTATAAACAATTTAAATATAATAGCATTTGTTAACAACAATTTTTCTTTACTGAAATATAATTTTTTCTTAGAATTTCAAAAAAAAAGAAAAGTTGATGTGTTTGGGAGAATTTCTTACATAATGTGTTTGAGCGAAACAATATAAACTATGAAATTGTAAAAATTAAAATAAACACTATTGAATTATTAAAACCTAACTTATGCGTTATGCAAATGGTGGGGGGAGGCCCTCTGACCCCCTTAAATCCGCCACTGAATATCATTATATGTATGTAAACTTATGAAAGATGCATTGTATTGAGATAAAAATGTAAGTAGACGTATCAATTGTATGGGAGGTCAAACCTTTTGTCATCTTTTATTGAAAACTAAAATTATATCGATACTGAAAATAGGCGATTCAAAAAAACAACCGATTCGCTAAAGCGACTATCCCACGTGTGCGACGGTCCTTATTTCGAATTACTAGTGTGGACGATAGTAGAAGCAATAGAAACGAACGGGTGGTGAGGCGGTCGACGAGGAATTTGAACGAGGTTGAGGTTCCTGAGAGGCTTTCACGGATTCTCTACCGATTCAACGCCACAGAGACCCGTCGCATTTGGATGGCGACTGACGTATCTTAAAATTGAGGTCGACGAACAACCGTGGAGAATACGTAATGATTCAAGGGTCGGCAGAACAATTTAAAAATGTAATTAAGCTGATTAAACAACAGGTTGGTACATAAATTACCTCTTAATAATTTGAATGGCGATTTGTGATGTAAATCATCAGATCCCTATTAAGAGGGGGGGGGGGGATTTCAAAATTTAAAAGTATGGCCAATAAATGTCAACACCGGAAACATTAAGACCAACATACCTAACTTAAATTTTTTACTGTATTACACAATGATGGGCGTATCATCTAAATTATTTTATGTATTGATTATTGATTGTGTTTTATTATTATTAATTATTACTTCTGTTATTATGGATTTTTAAAATTTTTATTTCGAAATTTTTTAAACAGATTATATACTTAAATATTTATAATTAATTATTACCCTTAATTGATATAAAATCAATCAACATTGACTTATTATTCAATTATTTCAATTCATTTAATTTATTAATATTACTTATACATTTTAATGTAAGGTTGTACGGTTTTATCAAATGTACCTTCCTATATCCTTCTACATCAATTTTCGTTCATACACTTATAATTGTTTTTAATTAAAAAAAAAAAAAATGAAAGTGATTTAAACTATAAATGGATTAATCAAGGGAGATTCCAGTACTCTCTTATGGTCACTATACTGAAAATAGGAGGCAATTCAAGTGAATTAAATTTTTTAAATCGGGTGGGAATAATTCAAGGGTCAGATGAGACGTAATTCGTGTGGGCCCCTGAAATTAATAACAGATGAATAGGTATTTAAGGTCTTTTTGTAGTTATTTTTTGTTTTATCTGTATAACAGAAATACAAAATAATAAAAATCGATGATTTTATTAAATGGTATTATGTAAACTTTAATTTTTTCGTTTCATTTGATGAATATTTTAGTGAAAACTACTAGAAAAACTATTACATCTGCGTTGAATAACCAATCTATGTGTCTTATGTATACATATTTTAATATTATCAAATACCGTATAACCCACCAGAGAAAATGGTTGTACAGACTTAAACAGACTACAGGTACTTAGTTAGCTAACAAATAAAAAACCCATCATTATAAAATACAGGTACAGAATGATTTATTTTAATTGCTTCGCTAAAAATCTAAAACTGTCACTAAATTAATTTATTTAAAAAAAATACCATAACCTATGCTTCATCATTCCATCTTTAACAATTAGCATAAAAGCATATAAATATTAAATACATATCAATTCAAGTTTTACGCAATCAATTAGCCACTTTAAGCATAATAATGAGTCCATTCTAGCCACGAAACAAAAAAAAATTGTATTTTCTACAAAATCTGATTTAAACAGCTAAGATATTACTGTCGATTTTTTACTCATATTTTAATAATTATTAATTTCTAATTTTTTAAATATAATTTCAACAATTTCAACAGTTTTTGAAAAAAATTTGTCGAAATTTGTATTTTGTAGAAATGCAGAATATTGGAAAAACTGTCTTATAGTGAACTATTGAGCAACGTAATTATGTTACAATATTTTTAATTTAATGTATATAACGTAGGTATTGTGACTATAAATATAGAAACAGAAAAGGAAGTAGATTGTTTAAGGGTTGTGAAACTCGAAACTGGGACGTATTTTCTTGTGTAAGTAGGCCCGACTGTTATATACGTCCACTAGAGGGGTTGAAGAGCTAAAAAAAAAGAGCAAAATAAAAATAATAATAATAGCTACCATTCTTGTATCTCACTTTTAAGTTTTAGTTTATAAAAATTAAAAATGAATCCATACATTTTAAAATATTTATGATGTTTAATCTAGGTTAAATAAAAATTATTATTTATTCTATTTGTAATATTCATACCTATATTATATTATATTGTGCTGTAATGTATAGTAGAATTCAAAAATTATAATTAGTAATTACTACGAACAAAACAAGTTATTGTTTAAAAGTAAAACAAATCAATAATTTTCATTATAAATATATTTTAAATTTCAATAATTATTAAGTCAATTCAATCATCAACAATTTTATTAAAATTCTTAATTCTTAATTTATATTTATTAACGAATAAGTATAATGATTTTATAGTTTTATTAAACATTAATGCTAAATTCATTAGTTGGATTTATAGGTAAGATGAGAAAATTGTTTACTGTGTAAAGAAACACTGAAAAATGTTTACATAAGTAAAATTGAATTCATAAAGTTTGTATTATTCAGTTATTAATAAAATATTAAGATATATGTTATATATATAATAATTTGTATGTGAACTACAATAAAATGA